GCCCCCAGACCCAAATCCCCGACACAGGGAACCCCCCGGGACATTTTGGGGTTTCTCTGCTCCCATCCTCCTCACAGATGAACAAGTTCAAGTTAGTGGAAACAAGTCTTTATTAAGTAACTTTTTTAATATCAGAAAAATAAAACTCTTGTAATTCTCTTTGCAGCAAATATATAGTATCAGTGCTTTGGCCGTCATAAGTTAAAGGCCCTTTATCATAAAATATATGGATTTTTTTAAACTTTATTCAAATCGGATCTGTAATCCCTACATATACATAACAAAAAGTGTAGCAAAATTAGCAAATACTAAACCAGCCTCGGCCGCCCCTGGGTCGTGCTGGGTGTGGCTCTGCGGTGTGGCCGGACAGCGGCCGTGCTCGGACACTGACCCTGCACGGACACTGACCCTGCTGGGACACTGACCCTGCTGGGACACTGACCCTGCACGGACACTGACCCTGCACGGACACTGACCCTGCTGGGACACTGACCCTGCTGGGACACTGACCCTGCACGGACACTGACCCTGCACGGACACTGACCCTGCTCGGACACTGACCCTGCTGGGACACTGACCCTGCTGGGACACTGACCCTGCTGGGACACTGACCCTGCACGGACACTGACCCTGCTGGGACACTGACCCTGCACGGACACTGACCCTGCACGGACACTGACCCTGCACGGACCCCGGCCATGCCCACGGAGCCCCGGAGCGCTGCAGGACAGGCCATGCCCTCAGGGCAGCTCTCAGACTTGGAATCACAAAATAAAAACCGTTATCTGTAAACTTTTAATACGAAATGTAACTCTTCAAGTTTGTCTTTTTTTTTTTTTTGTTATACTGAGAAAAAAGCTTTGTCTTGGGAAAATAATGCTTCCAAAACAAAAATAGAAAAAATCCACCAGAACTCCACTTGGTATATATTTTTTTTTCCTTTCTTTTTTTCTTTCTTTCTTTTTTTGTTTTTGTTTTTCATATTGTTCTGTTTGCTTTTGTTGCTTCAACATATGCCAGCACAGATTTGGGAACATACTGAGGATGGAGGAGCTGGAAACATCCACAGCCTGAAATGCAAGAGGAGTACTCAAGAGACTCTTTTCCTTTTTCTTCTTTAAACCAGTGATTGGAAAGACATTTTTGAAATGAAGCAAACTGATTGCAGGGCCACAGTCAGTGAGAAATTAACCACACCACCAGGGCACGCAGGCAACTCCCCAATTTTCCTTTTCCTTACTAAAAATAAATCTATAGTATGTGCAAGACGAGGACTGACATAACGATGCTTCACATTTTGATCTGCAGACTCGCCAGGAGGTGATTTCAGAACAGCTTGATTGGACAAACGGAATGTCAGCACCCTCACCCGGGGGATCATGGACCTCGGACAGCATCCTTGGACAGGCTCCTCGGACAGGATCCTCGGACAGGATCCTCGGACAGGCTCCTCGGACAGCATCCTTGGACAGGATCCTCGGACAGCATCCTTGGACAGGATCCTGGGACAGGATCCTCGGACAGCATCCTTGGACAGGCTCCTCGGACAGGATCCTTGGACAGCATCCTCGGACAGCATCCTTGGACAGGCTCCTGGGACAGGATCCTGGGACAGGCTCCTCGGACAGCATCCTTGGACAGGATCCTCGGACAGCATCCTCGGACAGGCTCCTGGGACAGGATCCTGGGACAGCATCCTCGGACAGGATCCTCGGACAGGATCCTGGGACAGCATCCTCAGACAGCATCCTCGGACAGGCTCCTCGGACAGGCTCCTGGGACAGGATCCTTGGACAGCATCCTGGGACGCGCTGCCCATCGCAGCCTGGCCGCTCCCGTGGCAATCACGACCCCCGGGGGCCCTGCCCCGCAGACACCCGGCCCTGCCTGGGCTGCCCGGGGCTGTTCCTGGCCCTGCCCGTGGCTTGGCCGTCCCGGTAGCTCCAACGGCGCCGCCTCCGACGGAGAAGGTGTTTGCTGTGCTGGAGCATGAGGCGTGAGTGGGCGTAGAGAGCGGAAGAAAAGGAGTTTCCCCAAACCTGTTTTGAGCACTGGCAGTGTAGACAAGGCAGCATTGGAAGTGTGGGTGGCTGATGGTGCCACAGCTCCCTGCAGCAGGTGATCCCTGTGTGGGGCAGCGAGGCTCCGGCTGCCAGCGCAGAGGCCTGGCCACGGCAGAGGCCCTTTACAACGCCCAGAACATTTGTGTTTTCAGCTGTGTGTAATGGATGAAACCTCCCCTCACTTGCCATGGTATCCCCAATCCCTCTCTGCTGAACCCCGCTGCCTGCACGGAGCCGCAGAGCCCAGCCCCGGGCAAGCCCGGTGCCAGGAGCCAGCAGCGCCGCCGCTCCCGGGCCCGCGGCACGGCCCGGCTCAGGAGTGGATGTGGATGGCCTGGGTGACCGCGGTCTGGCACATGGGGCAGGCGGGCGTGTCCCGGGCGCAGATCTGGCCGGCGCACTGCAGGCAGAAGAGGTTGTGGCCGCAGGGCACGAGGGCGGCGGTGGCCTCGCTCTCGAAGCAGATGACGCAGTCGTGCCTGCGCCGGCACTCGGGGGGCGAGCTGGACGTGGAGCCGCCGTTGGACGAGGAGTAGCTGTTGGTACCATTGGAGAAGGCGGGGATGTAGACGGGCAGCTCGGGCTGGTGGCCGGAGCCCGGCGGGTCGCTGCAGGCCCACCTGGCCAGCGGGTGCTCCAGGCTCTCGGAGAAGGTGGGCGACAGGCGGGGCGTGGGGGGCTGGCTGCCGTGGCACGGGGCGTTGGTGCCACCCACGGCCTCGCCGGCCAGGCCAGACAGGGTGGCCGCGGGCTCAAAGGGCGCCCATATGGTCGGGGAGGGCGCGGGCAGGGGCTCGTAGGCAGGGGAGTCCAGTGCCAGCTCCTCCGTGCCCACGGCCGGCAGCGCCTCCCCGATCCAGAAGCCGCCGGTGCCGAAGGGGCTGGTGGGGCTGAAGTCGGCCAGCCGGCTGCTGCCGAAGTAGGAGTCGGTGGAGCCGCTGCCCAGGGAGCTGGAGCTGTCGTTGCGGTAGCTGGAGAACATCCTGGAGCGGGCACGGGGCGCGGGGCGGGCACCCGGCCAGGCAGGGCCGCCCTCGAAGCCGACGTCGGTGCCGTTGGCGCGGAAGTCGCTGTGGTGGCCGAGCTCCGGGAAGGTGCCAGTGCGCACGGCGACGTGCATCTCGATCTCCTCGCGCGCGCGGTCCACGTTCTCGGGCATGCCCGTCACCTCGAACACGGGCTCCTTGTCGCGGCTGGGCGTCACGATGTACGTGTGCGTCTGCTGCTGGATGCGCTTGATGGTGGAGCCCTTGGGGCCCACCACCAGCCCCACCACGCAGTACGGCACCCGCACCTGCACCGTGGTCTGCCCCGGCAGCGCGGGCGGGCGGCACAGCCCGCCCGGCCCCGCGCCCTTGCTGCGCGACGCCCGGATCAGCGAGAAGTGCTCGGCCGCCGACAGGATCTCCCGCTTGGCCGTGGCCACGTCCTCTTTGCGCCCCGTCACCACGAACACCGGCTCCTCGCCGCGCACCGGCGTCTTGATGTACGTGTTGGTCTTGGCCCGCAGCGCCTTGATCTTGCAGCCTGTGCAGGAAACACGCCGGGTCGGCGGGCGGCCCACGGCAGGGAGCACCGCCCGCCGCGCCCCAGAGCCCCCAGCCGCGGGGAGCCAGAGCCCCACGCCGGGCAGGGACGGCGGGGACAGCTCGCGGCTGCAGCTCAGCAGGGCTCCGAGCAAGCCGCCCGCTGTGCCGGCAGCACTGCCCCGGCAGCCTGACCCAGCGCCCCGAGTGCCACCGCTCGGTGGTGACCGCCACGGGGCCGTCCTACATGCCAGCCGTCCTCCTGAGTGTCCCACAGAGATTCCTGAGCTCCCCTTCCCCTGCCTGGGTGTCCCTCAGCTGTCTCCAAGGCGCTGCAGGAGCTCACACACACAGAGCCCTGCTGACACACCAGCCCTGCAGCCTCGGCCGCCTGAGAGCAGATGAACGTTTCCTGGGAGCAGGGCCTGCAGCACAGCCCGTGTGCCGCACACAAAATCACTGTGGCACAGTGGTTCACTGAGAACGCCCCGTCTGCCCCTGCCACGAGTGTTATCCAAGCTCTGCTATTCCCTGTGGGATGAGGGCCCCTCCTCGAGCTGCCCCAGCAGACCGTGCACACAAATGGACTCCACTTGTGGGGTTTCTCTCCTCACCCGAGGGAACGCTGCCCCAAACAGAAATCAGAAGTTAATGGAGCCTTTCCCTTTCATTTCTAGGGACAAAATGAGTTTGTGGAACACAGCGTGCCCTTCTTCCCTGAGACACTCCAGGTGCTCAGGTAGGGTGCGAAGAGGAGCCCAGTTTGCCCAGCACAGGACCAGGAGAGCAGGCAGTGCGAAATGAGCACAGAGCAGCAGGCCCGCGGCATTCCCAACAGCGCCTGGACGCCGCCCTGGCTGAATCCAGCCGCTGTTGAGCCAGCTGCCAGCAGGTGACAGAGGTGGCACTTTGAGCTGCGAGCAGCAGCGGGAGCTCCCCTCTCCTCTCTGGGCACACGGAGCCGCGTCCCCAGGCCGGGTTTGTCAGCCCCTGCTCCCCAGGCCCAGTGACACTTCCACAGCCCGAGGGCAGGAGCAGCTCCGGGCAGGAGCAGGAGCAGGAGCAGGGCAGGAGGGCACCGCAGGCAGGGAGGGAGCGAGGCCAGGGCTGGCCCAGATGGGGAGGAGGAGGAGGAGGAGGAGGAGGAAGAGCAGGAGGAGGAGGAGCAGGAGGAGGAGGAGGAGGAGCAGGAGGAGGAGGAGGAGGAGCAGGAGGAGCAGGAGGAGCAGGAGCAGGAGCAGGAGGATCATTGTCCCGGGCAGCCCCAGGAGGGCTCGGGCAGGGGCAGGGAAGCACAGGCAGCTCGGGGGGCAGGGAGTGTCTGCACAACACCACACTGCCTGTCCCAGCCCCAGCCCCAGCCCCAAGCTCAGCTCCATCCTCAGCTTCAGCCCCAGGCTTAGGCTCCAGCTCAGGCCCAGCCCCAGGCTCAGGCTCGGGCCCAGCCCAGCGTGACCCACTCCCTGCAATGCCGCTGTGCCCCCTGCCTGCCCCACAGCACTCACAGCACTGCCTCCAAATCTCTGCTGTAATCTCTGTCTGCGATTTCCTACAAACGCCGGGTCAGGTTCAAAGGATGCGAACTGAGCAGCTCCCAGCAGGGCTCACACATAGAGATACAATCCTTCATTACACACACACAGTGATACAATCCTTCATTACACACACACACAGTGATACAATTGTACATTACACACACACACAGTGATACAAT